TGAAAGTTTATAACAAAGAAGGGCAAGTTGACTTATAAAAATAGAATTTTTTAAATAAAAGTTGCTTATAATGTTATTTTCTATAATTTTTTGCCTATACCTAACTTTTGTAAAATGGTCCGTATTCGGGAAATTTGATAGAAAGTGCAAAATACGGTTTTTTAATAAATTGTTTAAATAAAATGTTCTTCTCTAGAATTCTTGTCTTGTAAATAATTTTCCTGAAATGAGCCATGTTTGAGATATTTGAGAAAAAAAAAGCAAATTTAGAGTTTTGAAGATAACTCAAGAGCGGATAAAGAGAAAAACAATAAAACTATAATTTAAGATTTAATTCATCCTGTGTTGAACTAATTAAATTTTGGACATATTCGGAACATCTTGGGATACTTAATAGAATGTCTGTTATTTACGCTTGGAAAAGGAAATGTTTCAAATAAAAATTGCTTGTAATGTTATGCTCTACAATTTTTGTGCCACTTATAAGTTTCATAAAATGGTCCGTATTCAAGAAATTGGACAAAAAGTTAAAAATTCGAATTTTTAAGAAAATTGTTCAAATAAAAATCATTTGTGATATTATTCTCTATAATTTTTACTTTCCTATCTGTATGCAGATAAGGAAAGTATAGGAATCATGATTTTTTTCGACCTACAGTTTATAAAAGTTATTATCATTATAATATGGCCAACTTTCTTTTCGCGCAGCAAAATTTTCAAGTAGCTGTTACTCAAAAAGTAAAAGTCCAATAAAAAAAATATTTCCCTTAAAAGTTTCTTATTTTTTATGTACTTTAAGAATATGTAAGAAAAAAATGGGATTCCCATTTAAAAAAACCAAGTTCACCTCGATATGGCCATATTATGGTCAGCTATAAAAAAAATAATTTAGCCAAAATGTTTCCCCCAAAAAACTATAAAACTTTTGTCTGAAACTTTTTTTTCTAAAATGAATATTTTTGGCGGTATTTAACTGTAACACTTTAATTTGAACACCCGGTATATATATAAAAATGTTTTGAGTAAGAGGTGTGTGGAAAATTTATGAAGACCCAGGGGAAAAAACCGATAGTCCATGAAATATGATTTCCAGAATACACAAGTTTTAGATTTGAAACCCAACAGCTTTTTATTGAAAAGTCACACCATTAAAAATACATTCTTAGGCATATTATTTATAATAACGATTACTTTAAACGAGTAAAGAATACTCAAAAATAACAATAGTCGACATCTCTTTGCAGACTCTTTAACCTTGAAATAGTAAAACTAAAACTATTTAATTAAAAATTTGCTATATTGCCTTAAATACCAATTACATTATTTAAAACTCGTTAAAATGCTCACAGGTCTAAAAGCCACAAGACGAACAATACAATGAGCAACCTGAGTTGTATATTGTAAATTGTAAAAATACTAGCAAAAAAATAGTGTAAATTATATAAATTTTCAGTAGCAAAATGGAAATTAAATCCAAAGAAATAAATGGATAGCTATACCTACAATAAGAAGAAAAAAGATACCTTGACTTTTGTAATATTACCAGTATTACTGGAAATAGATATCAAAAAGTAGAAATGTTTTAAATAAACAATTTTACGATGTTCTTCAACATCCCCTAAATGTTAAATGTTTATCAAGGACTAGATTTCTGCCTTTGATTATGGTATGTAGCTTGAATGCAATTTTTTGACTTATTGATAGGAAACCAGTTTTATTCATTATTTTTATTTTTTTTTTCGATCTAAAAATAAAGAATATATTTATGACTATTTTAAAAAAAAAGTGTTATCAGTTATTTTTAACTATTTTTTTGGTTTCTTATTTAAATTACCATATTAAATACTATCGTGTTGGTTTCTGTTTTATTTTCAACCATTTTATTTTGTTCAAATCATTCTTCTTTGGTTTCCTGAATGCATCACTACTTATAAAGGTTCAGTGTTTTCTCTATGGTATTTCTGCATTCAATATAAATTTATTTGATTTGATTTTTTTCAAACTCATGCATAATACAAACTCTTTGGTATCTATTCCTTAAAATTTTTCCTTAATAAACGATATTTTATAAAAAATTAAAACGCTATATAAAATTTCTTATATAAACAATCTTAATGGTTGAGTTAACGACGAGAAGTCATTTTGTACGAAATATTGAGCTTATCGAAAAAATAGGTTCTACATATTAAAATTTAAGATGAGATATGCAGGCTGCTAATAAATGAAACAAAATGTAAAATATCCGGAAGATAATTTAAATTTCACCAACGCCGACCCTGTTGAATAATGTGGAATAATTTTCGGTTTCATCTTAATTTTAATTCTGCCCATCTTTTATTAATGAAGTTTCGCTGTTACTTCGTCAAAAGAGAACTGTTTATTTCTAACACGTCTCCGCAATATTAAGTTTTCAGTTTTTGAAAATAGAATTAACAGCGAAAAGGAAATGAACAAAGTGCGGAAACTCGTCTCGAGGTTGTGGTTGTACCGAGTTTTTCTGTCGACGAGAAAAATAATGCAGATTGAGGGAACTTTAAAAGTATGAGTTTCAGTTTATTGTTTTCCTGACCTTTCTGCACAGAAAAACACAACAGGGTTTTCAACCAAGATATCGTAATAATAACAATACAAGTAATTAAATCCAGCAGCTTCAAAATTTAAAAATTCTTCTAGTATTTATTTATTTATTGAATATTCTTTTTCACATATGCCATTATTACTCAGCTATAAACAAAATAGCGTTGAATAATAATAATTATTATTAATGCCACTTTTAATGGCAGCTCTAACTCTAAATATTTATTGACAAGATATTTAAACCCACGGTTCGTAGAGTGAAACGGTGGCCTCATAAGGTTGCTATGGTGACAAATAATATCCCGCTGCGGTTTGTGCATTATTTTTTTTTAATCTAATATTTTATTATTATTTAGTTGTGTTTACATTTTTATTTTCCAGTGTTGTAGTTTTTATAATATCGGTAGTTTGATTTTTTGAAAGACATGCTCCAAAACAGCAAAAAAAAATGATGTAATGACTATCATAAAATTTAAAATAATTACTTTTTATTTGAATTATAAAAAGAAATATTATTATGTGAATGGTTAATTTTAAACATTTTGGGTTAGGGTACGGCCTACAAGTCGAACTCGGACCACATTTTGTTTATACCCTAAAATAATTTGAAATTTTAACATGTCTGGAGCGAGCTGTAATGTTGCTGTTTCAAAACGATATCATTTTTCCCTTTCCCAAAAAGCGACCTTTTACAAAAAATATGGGTGCAATGTTTTAGAAAATATCATATCAATGTTAGAACTGTGATACAGTGGTCATTTTAAGAAAAGGTATTTCATAGATGACATTCAGATGCAAATTATAGAATAAAACAGGGATTGTTTTATTAATTTTTTATAAGTACATTATACTGTTCATACATAAAATAACTAGAAACTGACAAGAAAATAGTATATTATGCAACTAGTGCAAAAAGTAACCAATTTCACACGATGTGTGGAATAGGATTTCTGCACGAGTGGCACACTATACTTGTTCTACGACCACAATGACTAAAACACAAATTACACATTTTTTAAATAATTTGGAAAACTCTTTTAACGATTTAAAATTATAAATATTAAGAGGTGATCAATATGTATTAAATTTGTAACATATATTCTTTTCTTTAATCTACTTTAATTTCAATTATACAATTATATAATTAATAACTTATTTTATTTGTTATATATACCTAACTTATATTAGAAATTTGTAGCATTCCTACTCAGTTTTTTTTTATTTTTTTATTAAACAAATTTACTTTTAATATTTTTCATGGTCACCGTGTCAGTTTGTTCTGTTTGTGTCCCAAATAAAATAGAACAAATAAATTATTATCATTATTCATTTTGTTTAATGTCTTACTAAATTATTTAAACGTACTTGATTTTTCTTAAATTTTAATGTTAAATTTATTTATTAAAATAATAATAACACGATTACAGTTTAAAATACTTAGAGGTGATAAAGCATGACCTTGGAGGTTTTTTCATTTGTTGTTTCCAAAAAGATATTCTGCTAGTAGAAGCTTCAGATTCCTCAGTCTTGTTTTTTACAGAATGTAGAATTGTATCTGCGATATCCATTTTATTTGATAAACTGTCGTCGATGAATCCCTCTACGGTTGTAGTTAACTTTCATCCGCCGTGTCTCTTAATCGTTTTTGTATCGGCTCCAGAATTGAAGAGGATTGTGGCGACGAACGGCGAATACAGTGGCTTGTATAATTTTTGTAATCTGGTAACTTCAGATATTCAACAATTTGTTATGCCATATTTTCAAATTTATTGACTCCTAGTGGTTACACTGTCCGCTTGTCCTTTTGATAATTCGTAAAAAAATTATCGTGGCGTATATTTGCAGGCCGAAAAGTGTTATAGGTTTTAAAAAATAATGCATAAAAATCTCCTGTAACCTTAAACTTTCCAGGAACTTTAGGTTTTGTCTGTTATATTTATTATAACAGCAGAGCCTACGTCTTGTACGTCAAACATTTTTAAATTTTTTAATTGTTGTCTTTTGCGGGCTCCCATTATTCCTAAAACGAGAATTGGTGACAAAAAAAATATTAATCGCTCATATTATTAGGCATTTATTGCAGTGTCGCGACACCGTGTAGACGTATTTACCTTATCGTTCTACATTGACACCCGTGTTTCTGTGATTTATATTTCAATTAATTTTATGAAATTCACTTATCGAGTTCCTAATGTGCATTTCATTGCCTCAGTGAAAAATAGTGCAAGTGCAAAAAATGTAAGTCATAATAAACCTTAATAACATTTTAAAATTTACATCAATCTGCCAGCAAATCCGAAAAATGTTATCAACAAGTTTCTGTTCACTGCACAAAATATAGCTGGCAATGTCGTGCTAATTGCTTTAAGACGATTTTAGATCGCGAATCTATGAAGCCCCAGTGCGGTGGGTGTAAATTTTTCATGCATTTGAACTGTACTGATTTAAAAGCCGATGATCGTGTCACTCGCCAAAAACTTCGATGTATTAAAATAGTTTGTAACCGTAGCTCCTCAATCGTAGATCAGTTTAGCGAAGTTAAGGGTATCCTAGAGACATTTAAAATAAATATTGATAAAAAGGTTGATTCTTTCGATGAAAAACTTAAAGGCATACAGAATAATATCGAGTCATTTAATAATCAGCTATCAGAATTTAAGGACCAAGTTAAAAATTCTGAATCTGTTCGTTCTCCTGAATTTATTGGAACTGTTACTGCAGAAGCAGTTGCTAGAATGCGCCGTGCCAAGAATATTCTAATTCGCGGGGTCGCAGAAGCCCAAGGAGACAGCGCTGTGAAGAAAGAACAACTCCATTTGATACTGACCTCGGTCGGTTCAACAGCCGAAATGGTTTCTTTTTATAGAATCGGAAAACCAAATTCTAACAATAAATACCCTCGAATGATTAAAGTCACTTTCCAATGCGAATCTGATGGTAAATTTATTCTTCGCTCGAAACGTAAACTGATGAAAAATAATTTAACCAAGGATTTCAGTATCACCAATGACAAAACTCAGGCTCAAAATTCATACCTAAACGAACTTAGAACTGAACTGGAAAATAAAAACCGAAATGGCACTGACGACTGGACTATCAAGTACATTAATGGATCAGCAAAAATCGTTCAAAAATTTCAGAATTAACTGGTTCATCTTTAACTTTCAATGATTGGCTCTTATTGTACACAAATTTAGATTCTCTTCCCAAAAAATTCAATGAATTTATTTGTCTTATTCAATCTGAAAAACCCGTCCTTATTTTAATTACCGAAACGTGGCTCAATGTAAATATTCCAGATTGCTTAAGGAGGAGGGGGAGTATGTATATATGTAGCTCAACATATCTTAGACTGTTTTATAATCTCATCTGTAGATATCTCAGTTCCTCGTATTGATTCTCTTTGTTTGCAGCTGCAACATCTCAATTGCCGTATTACTCTTGCAGTTATTTACCGTCCGCCAGACACACCTGTTGCTACTGACGCGGCTCTGCTAGACAAACTCAATGTCCTAAGTGGTTCAAAAAATCTGATTATAGTAGGTGATTTCAATTTTCCAGACATTAAATGGCCAATTACTTCTATACCTGACACGCAAAATGTTACCAATCAGTTCATGGAATTTATCCACAATTTTAGTTTTGTTCAACTAATAACCCAACCCACGAGATTTAGATTAAATCAAGAACCTTCACACCCTCGATCTACTACTTACCAATGATGAACAACTCTTAACCCCACCGGTGTATCTCCCACCAGTTGGAATTTCTGATCATGCAGTCATAACGTGCCGTTTACAATTTTAATCATTTTCTTCTTGCACATCCAATCACACTATCTTCTCACTCACAAACTTTGCTGAGGTTTTTTCTTATCTAGACCAACTAGACTGGATTAATATTATCCCTGAAAGCAATGATCCGAGCTGCATGTGGAATATCCTTCAAAATACAGTTAATGATTGTGTAAAATCTCACACTAAAAACAAAATAAACAGAAGAACAAATCTGAAAACCTGGATAAATAATTAACTGCTGTCTATGGTAAAACATAAGAAACACCTATGGAAAAAATTTAAGCGAACCACCAATATGAACGATTTCTCTGCTCATCGACAATTCTCCAATCAACTAAAGGCCGCAGTTATCGAAGCAAAATATAACTATCAGGAGTACATCGCCAACTGTGCTGATAACAAAAAGTTCTATAAATATGTTAGAACAAATCTGACATCCAAAATGTCCGTACCTCTTCTACAAAAAGAAAACGGAGATAAGTGTGCCAACAATACTGAATCTGCTCAACTTCTTTCTAACACCTTCTGTAATGTCTTCACCCTTGAAGATATGACATCACCACTTCCAGATATTTCACTAAACAGAATACAGGCCTCTATTTCCAACATATCGTTTGACTCAGACATAATAAAAAACAAACTAAAAATGCTTAAGTCCAACTCTTCGCCAGGCTTAGATGGTATCTTCTCTTTTCTTTTAAAATCTTGTGCTGACACTCTCTGTCGTCCCATTTCCCGTATAATGACTTCTTCCTTTAATTCTCACATCTTGCCATCTATATGGAAGACTGCGTCAGTGACTGCCATATTCAAAAAGGGCAATAAGCTTGACCCAAATAACTATAGACCGATAAGCCTTGTACCAATAGTTTGTAAGGTAATGGAGTCCATAATATGTGATAAGGTAATTGACTTTCTTGAAAACAAACGTGTATTTCCCACCCAACAACATGCATTCATCAGAGGACGATCTACCTTAACTAATCTCCTGCAGTCTGTCAATGACTGGACAAAGGCCTTAGATGTTGGTCTTCCTACAGATGTTATATACTTGGATTTTTCTAAAGCCTTTGATAGAGTTCCAAAGCACCGACTTCTCAAAAAGATTGAACACCTAGGAATCCGAGGCAACTTAATAGCTTGGGTAACGGACTTCTTAACCTCTAGACAATTTTGCGTAAAAGTTGGTAATAGTTTCTCTCAAACCAAATCCGTTGTCAGTGGAGTGCCTCAAGGATCAGTCCTTAGTCCCCTACTATTTCTATTATATACTGCCGATATTTCTGTGCACATAAAAAGCTGTTGCTCCTTCTACGCAGACGATACAAAATCTACGCAAATCCAATTGCGGACTATCAGTCTCTTCAATCTGATCTAAGTGCGGTATCAAAGTGGAGTTCAGACTGGTTATTACCGCTAAACGTTGATAAATGTGTTGTCCTTCATATCGGTAAAAACAATCCTAAATTAGTGTATACTATTAATAATAATGCCTTAAAGACAGTATCGTCCCAAAATGATCTCGGCGTTATCATTACTAGACTTAACGTGGTCAGAGCATATATTATCAGTAAGCAAACAATCAAACTATCAACTATTCTTATTAAAAAAGTCTTTTGGCAATGTTTCTCCCTCAACATTTTTGAAAATATACGCAACATATATTCTTCCTCGCCTGGAGTACTGTGGTCCTGTTTGGTGTCCCGTATTAATCTCGGATCAAAAGAGATTGGAAAATATGCAGCGACTTGCAACAAGGCTTCCGTATGAACAGCGTCTGTCTACCGCTAATCTGATTCTTTTTAGTGAGCGTCGACTGCGTGGTGATTTAATCGTTTGTTTTTGCGCAATTAGGCATATGTTCGGTGTCGATCTTTCGAATTTATTTGTATTAAATAATGACCTGCGCCTACGTGGGCATATGTACAAATTAAGAAAGGAAAATTTTAACACTAGAGTTAGGCAAAATTTTCTTTCAAACCGAGTTTTCTCTGTATGGAACAATTTACCTGATAACGTTGTAAGCGCACCTTCAGTTAACTCGTTTAAAAACAAATTTGATTTATTAGGCTAAGTATGTATATATATGTAAAGAGACAATAAATTATAATCACAACAAATAGTAATGTTATTTAACGTAATTTATTGTCTTTATACTTTCATTTTTTTTTAATTTATAGATATAGTTTATAGATTGAAAAAAATTGTTTATTTTTAACTAAAAATTTTTAAATAATATGAGCTTCATAGGACTTCGGTTCTCAGCTCATGTCAGTGAATAATAGTAATAATAATAATAATAATAAAAGTAGATAAACATCATCAGTAGCTCCATTAAAAACATGGTTGATTTGTTTAGGTATTTTTAACATTTTTGCTATATACGTATCCTTCAGAAACGAGCGCAATTTTTAGTAGCGTAAAATATCTATACATCTTGTTTTACTGACAATGTAGTTGTCAAACATAGAATAAATTGACCATAATAAAGAATATTTTAGACTTCGATAGCTCCCCAAAATAAGTTGTTGTTTGTTGCCGATCTTTAAGGCAATAAGCCTTTGCTAATGTTATTCGCTATTGCGTTAATACGTAATATTATTATCGTAGTATTATTATCAATACTATTACTATCACTGTCCATTTTATTATTCATTTTCAAAATATCAAAATAAATTAAATGTCAATATTTTAAATTAAGTAAGTTGATTTGATTTTTTTGTATTCTCTTTTAAATATAGACACCCATCATTTTACGTTTTTTTTTTTTTTTTTAATAACAATTTTTTTTATTATTTTACGAATTATTTAGTTAAATAGGTATATCCTTAAAATGTAATCTTGTGTTTCTTTATTCGTACTAAAGGGTATACGACAATTATTCAATGCACAGAACGGTGTGAAGTTACCGTGTGGAATAATATTTCCACGCTAATAATGGATGTATGGATGTGTACGTAATTTTCTACTTTGACGCTTAAAAACAATTCGAAATTGGTAGTGTGACCTACCTCACTTAGGTACCTTCATTATTTACTAATTCCATTTTTAAAGAAAATATTGCATTCTTATTAAATTCAAAATCCTTCATTTAACGAAAAATAGTAACATTGTTTTTGAAACAACAATTTTTCAAAGCAACTAATAAATCGATCACCCATTTCTGTCTACTCAAATTCATTTCCACCGGAGTTACGACAAGTAGACGTCACAAAAAATCATTAAATCAGTTATAAAGACCCAATCCCGAAGGACTCTACGCCCCGCCGCTCTACATTTTGATGCTCAACGTCCCGGTACTATACGTGATTATGAAAAGTTATTAAAGAAAAAAGAAAAAACTTTCAGGGGTTTGAACTTGGGTCCTCTGCTTACAAGGCAGGCATTCTGCTGTTGTGCGACACTGACATACTAAGATTATTGCAGAATTATGGGACTTACGTAAACGTAATAACTAAAAAAATGTGTACTTATGAGCGCACGATAGAAGTGAAAACATTTACATCACATACGAACTAAAATCTATTTAAAATAAATATAAACAGTAATACAGTCATATTTTTTCATTTCCCATATTTAAAAAAAAAAAAAAAAAAAAAAAAAATGTATTTAAAATAAATATAAATAGTCATGTTTTTACATTTTCCATATTTTTTTTATATTACCTCCTAAATAAAGTAGTGATTTCTATTGGTTTTTTTTAACTGCGGGACTGAAATTTTTTAATCCATTGGGACTAAAATACTTTAGTCCCAAGGGAATAAAAGTATCACTTCAGTCCCTAAAATGAGGGAGTAAAATGCATGTTTTAGTGCCTGATGTACAAAAAATATTTTTTTAAAAACTAATGTAAGTACGAACCAACGACGAAAACGTACTAGACTAATCCATTAATTCATAAATAAGTCCTTTTTTACTGAAGTCATTCAGATTATGTTTATTATTACGCAAACAGAGCTGTCACATTGACTGCCGCATTAGAAAGAAGAACACAGCTGCTAATTAGTGGGGATGGTTTGTACGGGTATTTAAATTTGGAGGAGCGTGCATGCGTTTTATGAATGATTCAGTATTTTCATCTACGCTTGCGTTACACAACTGTCACACTTTAAAATTTATTGCATACTTTTCTGAAAACCA